CAACCAAGCAAATTGTAAATGAAGAAGGCAATGCACAATATTGGAGAATGGAACCCAATGTACTGCATTCCACCACCTACTGCTACATAAGAACAATAGTGTGAACGTTGGTGTTGCGTCATTGTCGAATAATCATGAATCAATGCTTCCAGTCATTACTGCAAATATCTTTGGTCCTGAAAATATCCAAAAACGTGGTAATGTGCTTTTTGACTCTGGAGCACAAATCAATCTTATCCGTCAAGAAACCGCAGACTGCCTTGGTCTTAAAGGAAAGGACATTTCCGTTACCATCACAAAAGTAGGGGGAGAAGAAGAGGAAATGAGAACGAAGGTGTACAGAGTCCCTGTCAGCACAATAGACAACTCGAGAAAACATTCCATCAAAGCGATAGGAATCCCATGCATAAGTGACACAATTGCAAGCATCAATACTACTGATATTACGAAATATCTTGGACTTGTCAATGAAAAGATCAGACGTGGAAAAGGACCAGTTGATCTCTTGATCGGAATTGATTATGCACACCTGCACACTGGAGAAATGAAGCAAGCCGACCATGTCGTAGCCAGGAAATCGCCCCTCGGAAGGGTACTGTTTGGTTCCAAACCAGGATGCACTACTTCTGAAACAACACGACTTCTCCATCTGAGTAATAAAACGTCAGTAGACCTTGCTGAATTCTGTATGGGCGTGGAAGTGAAACCGTGTATCTGTGAAGCTGAGTCAAGTCGAAAGGGAAGAGAAAATAATGATTGAAAAGGCAGCCTGCTATCATGAGTGACAAAATGGAACCCGATTTGTTGGAGCCAAACGTGAACTACCAGAGATGATTGCCGGTTGGGACAAGAAGCAACTTCAAGAATTTTGTGCAGAAAAAGGTATGGAATGGAAGTTTGTCTCCCCAAAGGCCCCACACCAAAACAGATGCGCTGAAGATATGGTGAAGACCTGCGAAAGAGCCTTAAAGAAAGTGGTTGGAGATCAAACGTTGATGCCATTCGAACTGTACATGTATTTGCTAGAGTCCGCAAACTTAGTTAATCAACGACCCATTGGTAGAGCGCCCAACGACCCTGACGATGGATCATATCTCTGTCTGAATGACGTTGCTTGGTCGAGTGGCGTCTGATGTGCTGCAAGGTCCGTTCAAGCCAACCAGGAATCCACGTGATCGAGTCGAGTTTGTCCAAAAATTGGTTGATTCATTTTGTAAACGATGGACTCGGGATGTGTTTCCCGACACTAGTCATTCGAAAGAAATGGCAGATGAAAAGACGAAACCTTCAAGTAGGCGACGTACATAGGGTAGAGTTATCGAAGTTTATCGGATAAGAAATGTGAAATTGAAAACGTCTGTCGGAGAGTACACCAGACCGATAACGAAGATTGCTGTAGTATATCGGGTAGAAGAATATGATGAAGAAGAATAAGGACTATATCCTTTTTGGGCAGGGAGGATGTTTCGATAAACGAGTACTGATAGTACGATTAAAAACTGTTCTGTTAACATTTCTATATAGACTAAACATTAATAATAGTCAGCTAATAAAGGATTGAGAAATACTTTGATAGACATTTAGAAATACGATACTAGGCAGGCCGCATGTCAAAATAGCACAAGAATAACCAGATGAACGCATGAAACAGAAAAACTGAAATAGTGCCGAGATCTGTAATTTATATTGACCTGAAATTGCTAACCTGTAGTTTGAACGTTTATACAGAGATTATGCTAACCTGGATATGTAAAATGGTGTAAAGTACTGGATATTGCCACAGAAGTAAGTAATATTATCATGTAAATATCAATTGTCATCATATGCACGTTTATAGGTATGTTAAATATTAGTCTTTTACATAGTTTAATTTCATTTTAGATCATAATTATTGCATGTTAAATATTAGTCTCTTACATAGTTTAATTTCATTTTAGATCATAATCAGTGCATGTTAAATATTAGTCTTTTACATACCGGGTGGGGCAAAAAAAAGTACGATTGTTTCAATTGATGAAAAATCAAAACTAAGAGAGCAATTACACCAGCGCAAGTTTATTGGTATTCAGCGAAATCCAACTTAAATTTTGATGTATGCCATGCACATTTCGATGCCATATTGACAAAGATACATGCATATAAATAGGTGTAAACATTTTTGGAACTGACGAAATTAGCTAAAAATGGCTTATTAAATATTAATACATACAACATGCAATAACTTGTGTTGAGACACATTATACTTTATTGTCAGTACGTTCACGCTTGTTGTTAAAAACAATCGTCTATATTTATTAGTAAATGCATGTCCTCCAACACGAATGCAACGTATTGCCCGTGAAATCATACAATCGAAAGAATTTTTGATCATTTGCTGTTTCAAGTTGTGGCATGCTGTAACAGTCGCTTCACGAACCTCTCTCAAATTGTGAATCGTACATAGACTTGTCCCAATCAATTGGAGCTACTCTCTCATGTTGAGATTTCTTTGAACAAAGTTTTGACCCAGAACAACTGCATCTCGTCACACCAACCCACTAATTGAAACAATAATCGCAAGAAAATGGTAAAGGTTGTTCAATTGGTTTTAATAGGGCCTTTTCAGCTAATTCTCGGCGGTTCCAAAAATGTTTGTTTAAGTTTAAACACAGTTATCTCAGTCATTATTGCATGAAAAGGTACAAGACATATATCAAAATTTAAGTTAAACATCGTGGAATATACGGTGACTTATTTGAGTGTAATAGCTCTTTTACTTTTTAAGTTATAGTAAATCAAACAGTCGTACTTTTTTTTACCCCACCTGGTAGTTTAATTTCATTTTAGATCGAATTGTTTTCTTTGTTATTTCAAATATTAATACGATATCCAGTCGACCTGTTTGATTTATCGACTTTGCGAAACAATTGGCACGAATTCCAGCGTACTACCAGAGACAGCCAAGCTAACTAAAAGTATGCCGGTGTCCCAGGAAATTTGGGGCCCCCAAACTTTGGCCCACCCGGGCCAAATTTCCTAGGAATTGCCCCCCCTGGGGCCATATTTCCTAGGAAATATGCCCCCCCCCTTCGAAAATTTGGCCCCCTCGAAAACATAGTTTACTTTATTGCTATAAGCTCGGAAATCGCGAAGCTTCTTCTAAAACCAAGATCCGATCAAGTGTTTGTCAGTATTTATAGTTGGTTTGCATAATTTATTTGTGTGAAAATTCTTCATTGCGGCCAAGAACTAAAAGTTTGAAGGAAAGCGTAATAATAATAATAATAATGTGCTAGTGCAGTCATGCCAGACACATCACACATGTAACATGGGTATCTGTTGAGGACAACGTTAAAGCATATTGGCTCAGCTTTAAACTAAGGACACAAAACGATTTTTAGAGATAGGAATTTCTAAGATATTACAAGTTATTTCGATCTATAAAATTCAGTCACATATAGTATAAAATTAGTCAAAATAACAACTGCACTTACTCTTTAGCAAACGATGACATCATGCGTTGGCGAATATGTTAATATGCACGCGTCTAATAAATAACAGGGAGTAATTAGCATTGGGGTAAAAGTAGACTTTTAAGTGGAAACGTTTGTTCGAAAAACAAAATCAAATGAGTGGTTATTTCGTAAAAAAAAGTCCTATGCATTTTACTTACATATACACAGTATATATAAATAATCGCTCGTATGAATGGGATGCATTACAGAGCATTCCGTAAAAACAGAAGTAGACTGTATGCTTCATGGTTCACAAAAACATTCCGCACACAGAAAAGCACAAAGGTTTGAATAACTAACAAAATATTCTGCAAACACAAAAGCACAAAGGTTTGGATGACTCGCAAAAACATTCCGCAAACATGCAGAAAAACAAAGGTTACATCCAGCTACATAAAATCCATCAGTGTTGTATCAATTCTCTTAGCCTAATTCTCGTCAGTATTGCAATTCAGTGCAGAATTTTGTTTTGACACAACAAAATTATGCAAACTAACTATAAATGTTGAGAAAAATTTCTAGAAATTTGGTTGTAGTAGAAGCTTCACGATTTCGTAGCTAAAAGATAAAGTAAACTATAATATTTTAGAGGGGGCCAAATTTCCGAAGAGGGGGCCATATTTCCTAGGAAATCACATGATCAAACTGATTATCAATTTCCCATTTGTAATACAAAATGACTGAAAAATGACAAACTTTGCAAGGCTATATTGTCCACATTTTACAACATTTCGTAACGAAACTTCAGAGTACTAGTTTTGTGATGCTCTTTCAAGCTGTGATTAAATTCTTGTCCAGTCTAGTCTACATCAAAATCCCACTTAAAAGGGGAAAGGTCTATTCGTTCGACTTTAATCAGTGGCGGCACCAGGCCTCAAAATTTGGGGGGCATTTGAGGGGCAAACTCGTATTTTGGGGGGGGGGCAAGATAGAATTTTTAAAAAGGTACTGCTATTTGCCCATGCCGTTGTCACAGGACTTTGTCCCCCCCCCCCAGGAGATTCGCCCCCCTCTCAAAAGGGGGCAAATTTCAGCTATTTGGTCTGCATTCCTTGTAAAATTTTTATCCGTTGACGGTTTTATTTGTTTTTGAAAACTGAAAATTTGTGTTGTGTTGCCAAATTAATTGTGTACGGTCTGCGTCGGCCTTTACACGTTTGGGAATTTAACTTTGCAAAACTAAAGCTTTTTTGTCCTTTTTGAAACGTATTATTGGAGTATTGGCAAGTTTTACCATTCAGAGATTTACAAACTAATATTGAAACTGTAAAAGACAGTTTCATGTATACGCGCATTCACTAATGAGTAATGACAACTTATAAGCCATACATTTTCCGATAACAACAAAATGCTTGTGTAGCCTTTAGTCGCTCTCAGTGACTAATAAATTTTTTTGAGGGGGGGGGGGAATAATTGGGGGGCATTTGTCCCCCCCCTGGTGCCACCACTGACTTTAATATTATGTAAATGTTTTATTTTCACTTTGGATTTTAAAAAATACAACCAAGACTGACGGTAAAATTAAATTTATACCTGTATAGTGCAGCTGAATATTCTATATAGTTCATTTCCAGATTAAGTGTTTCACCCTACGATCTATGACCTATGTTCCACAATTCGTCACCCATTTCATTCAATTAAGGTCCAGTTACACATGCGATTTTTTTCTCACGCCGGCAGCACAATCGCAAGTGATGAAATTGCTCGTGTAACACATCAACCGTAAATATTTCCCATTTTCATGCATGATCACTTCATTTCTACTGCAACCACTAATTACCAATTACAGTTATCACACATTGTTATCTAATATTGATAATCGTGCAAAATTCGTAATCTTATAACCTATATTCTTTTTTATAATTTCTGTTCTACATATTTAAGAGTTCTCATGCCAAAGGCAAAGCCTGGCAAAGCTACTATTCATGCCTGTCAATTTTCAAACAAAGCGACATCAATGTCACCATTAATGTCACCTAAATATTTCTGTTACACCTACGTCATTGCACACAACATACCCTTCTGTTATAGCGTGCATATTTCATCATTCACTGGCTTCTTCTCATGCCAAAGGCAAAGCCCGGCAAACCTACTGTTCATGCCTGTCAATTTTCAAAGAAAGCAACATTAATGTCACCTAAATATTTCTGTTACACCTACGTCATTGCACACAACATAGCCCTCTGTTCAGTAGCGTCCATATTTCATCATTCACTGGCTTCTTCCAGTGCATAACAGTTGTCTCAACTTTATCCGCAAATCGTTG